AAAAAAAAAAAAAAAAAAAAAAAAAAAAAAAAAAAAAAAAAAAAAAAAAAAAAAAAAAGAATAAGAAAAGAAAAAATACTGAGCATAGCACTTTTCAATTTCTGACGAGGGTACGGACTGTTCAACATACTCATGCTGGTAGCTGCTCTGCCGGTAGGCTGGACCTGCGTCTTGGACACGACCGTGACGACCTTCTTCATACAGTCGACGGAATGCGACTTTGAGCTCACTCTGTTACGCAAAGGCATCGCCGTGGGCATTGTTTACATAGGTTCCGTAAAGCATTACTTTACTTGAAGTGCATTCAAAGAAAATGTAAATATCCAACGATCGCAGGCATGGTAGTGGCCGGTCCGCTCTGGGACTTTGTTTTCCAGGACTGCGTGATCAGTCGGCTGGGCAAGCGCAACGTCATCATCATCGGCCTGATCCTCGACTGCCTCTGCAACGTCCTTTGGGCCCACGCGACCTCGTTTTACACTTTTGTGCTTTTCAAGTTTCTCAATGGCATTTTGTGAGTAAAGTACGATTATTTGGCAACCCCCCACCCCCGAGAAATAATTCATGCACGTCCCGATCTGTAGAATCGCCGGTCCGCTGTCGGTGCTCGTGCCCTATCTCTCGGAATTCCACGCGCCCACGTACCAGCCGACCTTCGCCAAATGGACGAGTTTGCTCTTCGTTGTATCCAGTATTTTTCCCCCGGGTGAGTTTTTCTTGCTATAGAGTTTATTAAAAATAAATACAATTTACAGTGCCAAAACCTGCGAATGATCAGTCTTTGGAGCTTGTGTTTTTTCGGTATATTAATTTTTTTTCATCACCAATGATGCAGTGCTTAACAATGTTGGATCCAGCTGAAATAATGCATTACTATTTTAAAGAGGAAACAAAAAGTTCGTATTTGATTTTAAATGCTTTACAATAAACTTCAATGTTCAAACTCTATTGTATGATTAAACACATTTTTTCTTACCATTGTATCGTTAATATTGATCAAAGTTTTTATTTAAACTATTTAAAAATTCATAAAGTAATTGTGCTTAAGTATGTATTCGTCGTTTCAAGGTATGATAAAAGCAATCGATTACCGAATCTGGCGATTATTCAATGAAATGTATAATATAACACACGTTGTATTGCATAACTTTTTATCCAAAGTTTAATTTTATTTAAAAAGTACGCATTTGTTTTCAAAAGTTAATACTCGCCCGTCAATTTTACTGTTTTGTTAGTTTAGTATACGCGAACGTGCAAGTGATGTGTAATTTCGCTAATGTCGGATTGACGTTTTGGAAAATCAGCGGTAATTTAGCGCTCGCTCGGGCACATGTACCTTGCAGAACCTGCAAACGTCAATGTGAAGGTTGCCAACAACAAAACGCGTTAATTTACACGCCGAATCGAAAATTAATTGACTGAACATCATCGTTTTCCCTATAACGATACACGCACATTTATTTCCGTTCTTTATAAGTAAATAAAAAAAAAAAAAATAAAAAAAATAAAAAAAGTGTCGAGTGAATTGTTGATTTTCAGCGCTGGCATCCGTACTCATTTTAAATACTTCCTGGTTCAACTTTACGGTTTTCAATCGTTTTTACGAAACGTGGCGAGTTTACATGCTGATCTGCACGATACCACCGGCTTTGGGGGTGTTTACCGTGTGCCTCATGCCCAAGAGTCCCAAGTTCCTTCTGACGCAGGGCCAGCCGCACGAGGCTCTGCGGGTCTTCAAAACCATGTACAGTATGAATTACTTTGAGCCATCCAGTCAATTTAAGGTAATTTAATTTCGAAATTGCTATTTCAATGCTATTGAGAAAAAAAAAAAAAAAAAACATTCTCAATCGCTGGATCGTCGCAGATTACAACGCTGACCTCGCAAAAAAACATGAAGCGCAACATAAAGAGCCTTTGCAAGGACAAGATACGTGACAGCGTGTTAAAGCTAAAGGCTCTGTTCTCAAAGGCCCACATCAAGACGTTTTCCATTATTCTCTCGTTGCAATTTATCAGCATGTTGGGGTGAGTTTATATCTTGGGGGTGATTGCGTCAAAGGAGGGGGCTTTTGTTTTTACGACTCGAGTCCGTCGGTGGTCGAAGAGAAACTAAAACTGTGATGCTCGAGTGTAAAAAAAAAAAAAAGAATATTAAACTCTTTACCATCGTCATTGAACGAAACAAAAAATTATTCGATACCTGATTAGTTTATAAAAATAGAGACATAGCTTTTCATCTACTCTTACAACGTATAATTTCATTTATTATTAGTATAAGATAGTTGTTAAAAAAAAAAAAAAAAAAAAAAAAAAAAAAAGAAAACGTATATTTTTCAGATTCAACACATTCAGACTGTGGGTGCCACAAATTTTTATAGCTCTCAATAACTTTCGAGCCTTCATCAAGCCATTTTATCCCGAAAAAACGACGACGATGTGCGAACTTCTCACACGAATCAAAAACGTTGACTCGAGTTGCGATTACGTATTGGTAAATGTGAAGTTTTACAAATTTTATTATACGCATAATACCCTATGTACAATTAAATACAATCGTGCAATAATCACATGCAATTCGGAATACTTACCAACTCTTAAAACGATTTCAAGGATTGTACGATGGTATAAAAAAAAAAAAAAAAAAAAAAAAAGAAATCGCACTATACGGTGATTTAAAGATAACGCACTTTTGATTTACAGCCCGAAGTCGAGTCTGCCGTGTACGTTAATTCAATAGTCATTTCGTCATTGGCAGTTTTTTTAAGTTTCATTTTCACCGCAATCTCGGATACGGAGTTGAAAAAAGTCGTGGCGATAAGTAAGATTTACGATCGATTTATTTTCAAAAACACCGCAAAAAAAAAAAAAAACAATTATTTGTTTACTCGATTTTACTCAATCAACGAATACTTTGTAGTCCTGGCGTTTCTCATCGCAACAGTTGGAAGCTTGGGACTCCACGCGTCGATGAACACGCCTTACATGCTCCTGTTGTGCACCATAATTATAGTATCGACGAGAACGGCGGGCAACGTCATTCAAAAGTACAACGACGAAGTGACGCCTCAAATATTGAGGTAAAGAGATTAATCCTATTTTTCTTTCATCCCGAAATATAAAACGATAAGATGCTGATAACAAAATTAAAAAAAGAAAAAACAAAAGAGATAAAGACACGAATAGCTGCACGAGTACGTGTAACATATCGAGTAATAGACAAACTTTGCATGCAGATCGGCTTCCACCAATAGTTTAAATTTCGTCGGCAACATTGGCGCGGCTGTGGGGTCCATAGCGTTTTCCATTGTCCTCGGGCTCAACTGTCCTACAATATTCACCGGAATCGGATGCTTGACGTTGTGTAATACTATAATTTTTCACCAGCAAAAGTTATTGCTGACGATTGAATTTTCAGTTTAATTTTATTTTTCAGTTTGTTACGTGGTGACTTTCTTTTTACTTAAAAAATCACCAGTGAAAGAGCCGCCGAACATCGAGAGATATTGAAAAAGAGCTCTTCAAGAGCACAACTGAGCTGCATCGGAACAAAAAAAAAGGCTGCCTTCTTGCCGGTTTGGAAGGCCAAAATAGTTAATTTACGCGGTTAAAAAATATAGAATAAGTGTATACCGTAATTTTATGGATAAGTTTTTTTTTTTTTTTTATACGTTGCATTTAATACAAATATTTGAACTTTTTGTCTTTGGACGAAAATTCACAAGACGACGTAGGAATTTAAGAAAACGAAGCGATACGTAAACGAAAGAAATTTTTTATTTTTTTTTCAAACAAAATATACAAAAATAAATATTGTCACTACTTTAACGCATTTTTTTTTTTTTTGTAAAAAAATCTCTGCCAATTAATCAACCGAAAGCTTCCCCTCGCTCTTGTTTACCGCTATTGTTTAACCTTTTTATTCGTTTGTAATATTTATTAAATACTTGTGTTATCGAGAAAAAAAAAAAAATGTTTTATTAAAAAATGAAATTGTTAATTCCTCACAAACTACCATTGATAATTCTCATGATGAATTTAAAAATGTGCTTACTTTTTGTGCTCTCACCCTTTGTCAATTGAACCAATATCGTAACATGCAACATTTAATGTTGGATGACACAATTGTTCCAGTAATACCTAACAATCAAATGAAGTAAAGTTTTCGTTTGCTCGTTTGCACCAACCTTTTATTCAAGGCTTCACTCTTAGTATCCAATGATCGAGTGTCACGAGGATCTTGACCCGGATTATCCACTCCACCGAGTCCGACTGCAACAAAATACGTACAATAATAAAAAAAAAGGTATAGTTATACCACGAAAGCAAAAAAAAAGAAAAAAAAAATATATGAAATTTCGCTCAAAAACACCCTTGGACCAATTTCTCCGGGCAATAAAGACACCTAGGCTGGATGTAAAGAGTCGCGTCAAGCGTATTTAACAAATGGGTAAACACACAGTATAGTTTCTATGTCATTAAATACGTAGGTATATATAATATAATGTATACGTATAGCGCGATGTCGCGGTTTCTTGGGCTCGCGGAGCGAGAAAATCCGCGCAGCCTCTCTGTTCAACGTGCACATGTGCGCAATACACATCGGCAAGCTGTGCCCTGCAGTAGTGGCGGCACACGTGCGGCACACGTGGCGCCCCGGCACATATACACGTGCAGACCGAGCTCTCCCGTATATACTTATAAAAGGCCCTTGTATATGTGCCGGGCTTTTATTGCGGATAATCGCAGAGGAGGAGGAGGAGGAAGAACACACACACACGGTGCGCGCCAGAGAGGGAGGGAGAAAAGGAAGCTTCGGCCGACAGAACGCGGAAACAGCTGTTCTCGGGAGCTATATGTCCCGATGCAGCTCCTCTGCACCTGTTCGTCCATCCGATACCTCCTCCGTGTATCATATGTATATACATTTGGAAAGCGCGGCTAAGCCTTGCTACCGAAAAGGTACGCGACGCTGCCCCCTTTTTTTTCCTCCCCTTTTTTCCCTGCAAGAGCTAAACTACCTTCAGTTGATTCTGAAATTTGTTTGTTGCTCATGGAGGAGCGATCGGTAAGACTATGCAACATCACTTTTTGAGGGTAGGATCAAACATAACGATATTGTTGTTTTTTATGGTCGAACTACGGTAAATATACAAGTAGGTTATTTCTAGAAAAGAAAAAGCTCTCGTTTCCAATCAGCACACAACCCATATACACGCTGTTGACTCGGCAAAAAGCTCCTTTTGTTTTCCAACGAAAGCTCCGGAAATCCCGCGGTTCGTGCTCTCGCGTCACAATAATCAAACCCATCACAATAAAGCTCCAGTGGAGAATCCACAGCGGATTTCCAATTACAAGCGCAGAGAGAGAGAGAGACAACAGACCAAAGCTCATCAAACGCGGTCGTCGAAAACCAAAGCTCTCCCCTTTCTAAATGCAAAATCCCTCGCGTCCGCGTCCGCGTATATATATGTGTATGATATATGTGGATGAAGCCCTCACGTGTACAGTATATATACGCATACACAAGCGCGTACTCATTACGAATTGCGGACGATGTGTATACACGCGCACCCAAGGTATACGCGAAAGCGCGCGCGAGAGAGAGAGAGAGAGGGAAATCTCGCGCGCACACCATCACCCGACAGCCGTGCAATTGACATATCCACTCCTTCGCTTTTGGTATCGACACGCTCTCCGCCTCCAAAGCTCTTCCGTACCTACTAGTCATGCTATGTACACGTGTGTACGTGTCCATACGTACGCGTTTGGGGGTGGGTATTTGAGTGTGTACGTGTAGTTGTACATATACAAGCCTCCAGGGGCCGAACGTCACTTCCGACAACTCGCTCGCTCGCAGATGGTCCCGCGGCTCTTTGCCTCTCTCTCTCTCTCTTTATGTGTGTGCAAGCACACGATAGAATAAAAAGCAGCACCGGCAGCTTTATGCTCCCGCGTTATGTATATATAGCCGGTGCGTTTCGCGAGATCCGCGTGCGCCTGGCACTTTTTTAATGCGCTGCTACGAGCAGCAGTGCCGGCTCGACGAGGAGCTTTCTCTCTTTATATATATATATATACATATGTATTGCCTATGGGTTGGTATAGGTGTGCCTGCTGCAAGCTCGGATCCTTTGATGCCGGCTTTTCGCTGACTCCTCCGCACTGCACGTTTATAATATATACATACACGCATGTTGTTGTTGTTGTTGTTGTTTTTTTTTTCCTCTTTCTTCGGTACATATACAATTGGACGGATGGAAGGATCGGTTTGGCTTTTCCTCGCAGGACTTGGTATCGCAAGTGCGTTATTATTCGAGCTGGTGCAAATTTTCTAATTCAACGACGAATCGATTGTCCCCCGTGGAAATCTTTTTTTTTTTTTTCCCCCCATGTCGTATGGTGCGATGAGAGGGTGCCCCTTGAGATAAAATGAGATGCACCGGAGTAATCAATCACGTACGCGGCGCATCTGGAAAAACATCGGAATATCGGAATAAAAAAAAAAAAAAAAAAAATAGCAAAAGATAGATGATAAGTGTACACACACATATATAGACGTAATAAATGCACCTGCGCTCGTAATATTATTCGGACGGCCAATATATCGGTCGATCGATTTGGAAGCTCGCGGCATCGGGCAGCTAGCAGCCGTCGTCGTAGACCGTGTACATAAATATATATCTGTATGTGGTATACGAAAATAAAAGGCCCATCTGTCGACCATCGACACACGTGCATGTTTACTTGTATACGTATATATACGGTGCGGCTGGTGCACAAAGTTGCGGGTGCCCTATGTCCACACCCCGTACATCTGCACCACTATATACCTACGGATAGACGTGATAGGGATCACACCCGCATCATATACGCGCGTCCGCGTTACGTTGTTCCGTGCAATGTGTGATATAATATAAATATGTATAATCGTACTGTTAAAGCGTCAGGGATGAGTTTCTCCGGGGTGTATACGAGTATTACGTATACATGTTTGCTTATAGAGGCAAGGACGCGCACGTTCGGGTAACAGGGTGCGGAATTCAGGTGTTGAGTGCTTATCTCTTTTTGCTTACGAATGTTATCGTCGGGCAAACACGCGTGTTCTCGAGCAATATGCCGTGCTTTATTTATTTTTTCTTCCCTCCATCCCCCTTCTAACCATTGGTGGATTTTGTTGAAAAAAAAAAAAAAAAAAAAAAAAACAATCCCGAAACTATGAAATACGGTATAATCGGATGGTTTTTTGCTCTCTGAGTATAGAGGGCATTAGAAGAAAAAAAAATCACCAAATCCGCATAGGTACCTCGCGCCTAGTTCCCAAGTACCTCATACTTTGGAAAAAAAAAAGTCGCCCCACATCCTCTTTCTACGCGCCTCACTACAACAAACAGACGACCCAATTGTACGGAGCGCACACAAACACACGCGCGTGCAAACATCGTGCAATAAGAAAGAAAGGAAGAAGGAAAAAGTACAAAGGATCTTAGTCTGCTCCATAGTTCATCCGTACAACCCACTTTGTGCCGGTGCTTCCGCGTTTTCCGCGCGGTCGGCAACTGGCACTGATTCCCTCCCCCCCCCCCTCTCTCTTTGGTATACATGTCTACGGCTGTCCGAGAGCTCCTTTTCTATTAATGCCGCCGCGCAACACCTGCTGCACCTGCGATGCCCATTATACATGTATACGCTTCTCTGTCTTTTTTTTTTTTTTTTTTTTTCCCTAAAACTACCAAGTGGCGTGCGTCGCAGATGACCGAAATAGCGCGCCGTAGCCGCTATTTTTATTCCCTCCCTTTCCAAAAAGGATCGTTACTTACAATATACACCAGGTCTCTCTTGCGCGAGAACGAGGCGCGTGGCTGGTGTTGGTTTTTGATTTTTATCCTTCGTACATTATACCTTCCTTTTCCATTCGCATAGTTATATATTTTTTTTTTTTTTTCTTTCCTCTCCCTAATGAGTTGTCACGTCGAGCAGTGATTCGAAAGGTTGCATGTGATACAATTTTCGAGTTCTTGCTCAGCGCTTGGATGATTAAAAAGTAAAAATTGCTTTCAATTACACATTACTTTCCCCCCCTCGTGATGTACGTAATAATTGACACGAGTAAGTATATTACAATGGAAAACAATCGAAATGTGAACGATAAAAAAAAAAAAAATGTGTACCTATACAATGGAAACAGTGTACGCGCGGGAGGAGGATCCACAGCTTGGCGTGCCAAAGGCAGAGCGTAGGAGTCCTCCTGCAGTGATCATCGGCAGAGGCAAAGAGAGAAAATCAAGCACCCGTCAATACCAAACTAGGTGTGTGTACTATATATACATATATGCATACGCCCGGTG